TTTTGTTGGCTTATAAGAGTTCTTGATAAATTCTGAATGCTATATCTTTATCAGATATAAGTTATAAATAGTTTTAGTATGAGGCTGGAAGTGGTGGCTCAGAAGTTAGGAGCACTGGCTGCTCTTCCAGAGGGTCCAGGTTCGATTCCCAGTACCCACATGGAGACTCACAACTGTCTGTAGCTCCACTTCCAGGGAATCAGCTGCCCTCATCTGGTCCTCCTGGACACTGCACACATGTGGTGCACAAGATATATTTGCTGACAAAACACCCACATACACAAAATAATAAATTGAAATGTAAAATATTTTTCTATATTTTATGACTTCTCCTTTCTTAATAATGTCCTTTACTGCCTAAAAGAATTTCAGCATTTATGTTTTAACTATGAGATTTTTTATAACCAGAGAATCATCACACTTAAAAAAAAATCTCAACTATATTTCCTTAGTCTCTTCAAATACTTACATTTATATGAAAAGTTGTAATTGTTTAAACTAGCAGCAGCTTTTCCTGGCTTAGGTTTCTTCTGTTTGGTTGGTTTGGTTGGTTTTTTGATAAGGTCTCCCTGAGTTGCCCTGGCTGTACTGGAATTCGCTATATAGACCAGGTTGGCCTTGAACTCACAGAGATTTACCATCCTCTGCCTCCAAAGTGCTGGGATTAAAGGTGTGCACCACCGTGCCTGGCAAACAAAACAAACAAACAAAAACTTTAGCAGCTACTTTTTAAAAATCAGTGTTCAAATAAATACTTTCCATTGCAATCTCAACCTGTTGATGTATTTAAAGGATTTAAAGTCTATAGGTTTCTCTTCCATCATCCCCCCGACCCCATGGGCGATTGATTACAGTCTGTTAGTTTCTTAAGAGGTACAAAATAGTGGCATTATGATTCTATTACATCTCTCATTATCAGGTAGAATACTTACTCTTATGAATAGTCGTTTTCTACTTTTTGTTATTTAAGTATCCAGTGTTAAAGTTATATAAGAAAGCTAAGTCAGGGCTAGAGATGGCTCCGTGGGCACAAGTACTCACTGTGTAGGAACAAGGACCCGAGCTCAGGTCTCCAGCTCCATGGGCATGAGTACTCACTGTGCAGGAACAAGGACCCGAGTTCAGGTCTCCAGCTCCATTGGCATGAGTACTCACTGTGCAGGAACAAGGACCCGAGTTCAGGTCTCCAGCTCCATGGGCATGAGTACTCACTGTGCAGGAATAAGGACCCGAGTTCAGGTCTCCAGCTCCATGGGCATTAGTACTCACTGTGCAGGAACAAGGACCCGAGTTCAGGTCTGCAGCTCCATGGGCATGAGTACTCACTGTGCAGGAACAAGGACCCGAGTTCAGGTCTCCAGCATTCGTGTAGAAGCGGAGACTTTGAGAGCTGAAGGGCCAGGATAGAGTTGGGCTGTCTTCAGGACATGAGATTGCCCTTGCAATCACAAACACATAGTAGCCATGACTTCCCACAGGGAATCTGAAAAGAAAAGAAGTAGAAGGGGGGATGGAGGAACACAGGATAGAAGTGAGAATGTTTGGAAAGACAAAAGGAGAGTTAGAGAGGCGATCACTGGGGTGGGTGTAATACAATGCAGTGTGTATACATATAAAATTAACGATTTCATTAAAAGTTTGAGTAGCCCTCTGAGGAACCAATTAATAAAAGAGAATAAGTAGTAGGGGAAACAAAGTCAGGCATGTCCATACACACCCCCAGTGCTGGGGTGGGGGCAGGGCAGAGAGGCTGACCCCTGGAGCTAGCTGTAGCAGTCTAACAAAACACCAGGAAGCTCCAAGTTCAGGGAGAGACCCTGTCTCGGGGGAATAAGGCAAGAGCTGTGGAGGAACACACTCTGTCCTCCAGCCGCACACATGCGTGTGCCCCAGCAGGTGTGCATGCACATGGACGACAATGCTAGGACACACTCTTTGTGTAGTCTTTGTTTGCACTTGACGTCGCAGTATCATTTAGTTCCTCATCTTCTTCTGACTGTGGCAGTCTTACTCTTTGTGAGTGCCTTGATTATTGCGTTCTGTTTCTAGGCAACACCGTTGCTTTGGTGTTGTTACACATTACACCAGTTATCCTATGTCTGACCACTGCGTGTGTGTCAAATTGACCCCTGAATCCTTGGTGTGATTCTGTAGTCTTTGTGAGCTGCCTGGCCATTACATATGGAAGAATTTCAGCTCTTCCTGATTGGAATGTAGTTTATTCTACACTTCCAGATTTCCCTACAGAAGTTTCCTGTAAGTCTTAACACAACTACTGGCTCTCTGGGAAAGATAACAAGAGTTTCCTAGGAGAGCCAGCTTGGCTCCAACTGTAAATCAAATCAGATCAGGCTCTGAAACTCAGGCATGAAATTCATTTCATGTGTTTTTGTTCGTTATTTTCTTTTGAGTTAGGGTCTCACGTAGCTCACACTGGCCTCAAACACCCTATGTAATAGAGACTAACCTTGAACATCTGATCTTCCTGCCTCCACCTCCCAAATGTGCATCTTACAGGGTGCTGAGGACCAAACCCGGGGCTTTGCATGTGCTAGGCAAGCACACAACCAACTGAGCTGCATCCTCAGCACCATTTTGTGAAATGTTTTGAGCCTCTATCAGGCATGCAGATAAAAATGGAACACAGTTGCACAGTTTAATTTCTGAGTAAAGAAATTTTGCACCCAGTTGGGGATTTTTTTCCTTTTTCCTTCTGTGTGTGTGTGTGTGTGTGTGTGTGTGTGTGTGTGTGTGTGTGTGTGTACGCACATGTGCACATGCATGTTTTGTGGTGTGTTTTGCATGTGTGTGAATATGGGCACCTGTGCATGTGGAATACTGAGCTGATGTCAGATCTAGGATCTCTCTTAGACATTATTCGTTGAGGCAGAATCTATCAGTCAAACGCAGAGCTCAGTGATGTGAGTGGTCTCAAGCTGGCTCTGGAGATTCCCATCTCAGTCTTCTGAGACTGGATTTACAGGCAGGTAGCCAAACCCATCAGCATTTCCATGGGTCCTGAACCCTGGGTCCTCACACTCTCTCAGCCAGCACATTCAACTCTGAGCCATGTCCCTGAGCTTCTGGGGTCTTTTAAGAACCTAGTGATACAGAGCTGATACACACATGTGGATTCTATTATACCTCTGCTTTGTTTCTCTCTCTTCCATCAATTTGGGGGTGGATTACTAATTATTGTAAGTTCTTTTTAATTAATTACAAAGAGGTGCTTTCTCTAACCCTGGAAATGAATGGGAAAGCCCTGGTTCTAGTCTGCGGCAATGCTTACCCTCTGCCCACTTGATAAAGTTGCTGAGTGCTGTAATGAGTTTATATTTATAGACTGCTTGGAGCTTTTTGGATGAAAGGTGCTAAATTAGAGTTTATTGTTTATTGAATTTATTTGATGTGCCCAACCTCCTGGGAACACTTACTGAAGTTAATTAAAACCAGATAGTCCGCACTGTGACAGCTTTCAGTGTCACATCCAAACCAATAACATAAACAGCTTGCACGAGTGTTGTCCTAGCTAGGGATTTCCTAGGTTCTTTGGACAGAGAAAGGCTCCTGCTGTGTAGGAGACACAGGTACAGCTGTAGGTTCAAGTCACAAAGACGGCTCAACTTTGTCTGAGTTGTTGATCTGCCCCTATTTCACAAAATGGAACAAAGACACAAGCTTATTGGAGAGTGTTCTTCATTTCTGGCTGTAAGATACTGGTCAAAGTATTTTTTAAAATAATAATAATGTTGGGCCAGTGAGATGGCTTAGTATACTTGCTACCATGTCTGATGACCTGAGTTTGATATCTGTGACCTACATGGTAGCAGGAGAAGACTGACTCCCTCAATTGGTAGTTTGTCTTACATATATGTGCATACACACACATAGATACTCATGTGCACACATGCACACAATAAAAACTAAAATATAATAAACTTTTTTACAGATTTTAATCCACTTTAATTGAGATTCTGAAATGTCAGCACAACATGAGATGTGGCTTTTTGTTCCAATAAAACGTGGCTCTCTGGGATGCTCAGTATACAATGTCAACACATTCTCAGCAGAACAATCTAGCTGTGCTGCCTCTTCCATAACTTTATGTTGAATGTGACATTTCACTGTTATTCAAGTCCCTCATCAAGGTGGACAAAACAATTATAAACAACTATAAACAAGTAAGAAAGTATAAAAATAAACTTTTAAGTTTTTGAAGTTCAAAAAGTTTATGCTAAATTATTTTAGAGAAAAAGGTTAGGAGGAGTGGAGGTTGGTAAATTGTGCCTGGGATGTATTGGATGAGAAAATACTCATCCAATTACAAAAAGTTACAAAAAGAAACCTCCAAGTTCTGCCCCGGCCAGCGGGGTATCAACGGGGGCGACCCACCTGTGGGAGAGAATGAGAGGGACAGGGGAGACACGAAAGGACGACAGCAAGACAGTGTGTTCTGATCAAGCTGCAAAGTTTATTCTCCTCAGCAAGGCTTATATAGTATGGGAGGGGGAGGGGAGGAGGGAAGGGGTGCACGACGTGCCGTATGTGCAGGTGAAGGGAGACGTGCAGGTGAGGGGCTATGTGCAAGTCGTGCAAGTGTGAGGCTGCTAGGTGGTAAGGTCACTGGTCAGGGCCCATTGTTCTGTTGCTATGCTACCTGACCTGCCTGACCTGTTCTTTATCTTCGGGGGCATCTGGTTTAGGGTAGGGGCTTGTTCTCTGGCTTAGCTAGTACTTTTCCATGGTCCATGTTTGGTCTCTGACAAAGTTCAGTGACACTTCCTCAACCAGCAACATTAAAAGTAAGCCTTCCTCTTTATGATTTCTACAAGGACTTAATAGAAAAGACAGCAGTTTGAATATTGTTTTATGATTGCTACATTTTCCTTGCAGGACTGGCATTCAGAAACAACAGAGGGCAGTATGCTTTCTAAACCAAGCTTAGTGAAGAAGTGCAGCCAAGCAGGATTGTAACAATGGCTGTTTCCTTCTTTTGCCAGTTGGTGATGGAGTTCTGTGGTGCTGGCTCAGTCACTGACCTGATCAAGAACACAAAAGGCAACACACTGAAAGAAGAGTGGATCGCATACATCTGCAGGGAGATCTTACGGGTAGGTAGCAAGTGGGCACTGCCCCCTCCAAGTTTCTTCAGTAACACAGAATGTCTTGGGAGATATTCTACACTGTTCTGCCTTTCTAGTGAAATTTTTAAGTGTGGTAGAAATGTATTTAATGGCTTCATCCTAACAAGCTGGAATTGGGGTACACATTTGTAATCCCAGCATTTGGAAGGCTGAGGCAAGGACATTGTGAATTCAAAGCTACCTGGTATACACATGGCTGTGTTTCCCCAAAAGAAAGACAGACAGAGAGAGAGAGAGAGAGAGAGAGAGAGAGAGAGAGAGAGAGAGAGAGAGAGAGAATGAATAGATCATAGACAGGTAATGGAAAGATAGTTGATAGATAAACAGATGCTAGGTAAAAAGATACATGATGGATAGAAGATAGGTAGGTAGATAGATAGACAGACAGACAGACAGACAGACAGACAGATAGATAGATAGATAGATAGATAGATAGATAGATGGGTAGAGGATATATGTAGATGTAAACAGATGATCAATGAATGGTTTATTTGAACAGTGATGGAAGTAGGGCAGCATTGATGGGCTGAGGACCATTCTAGATGGTCAAGGTCATGTGTAATTTCACTTGGAAGGTAAACACTGCATGATTTCCACACAAAACACTTGGTTTTGATGGTGTTTTTTTAATATTAGAAATCTGACTGTAGGTCATAATGTCCCTGTGTGAAATGGATTAAGAGATACACTGGTTAGTCATTCAAAGTGTCTATTTTCATTATAACTAATATTGTAATACCTCCTCACCACATAAAGGGACTTTATTCGTGTCTCTGCATACAGGCTAGATTAAGTGTTTGTACCTTAAAAAAAAATCTTTGAGGCTTAGCCTCCTAAATGACAATGCTTGGATATGCCTGTTTGCTCACTTTCCCACACAAATCTCAGGTCAGGCAGTGAAAGAACTGAGCTGTATTTGCTCTGCTTAGTTCAGGAAGAAGGCACCTGGGAACGTTAAGTTCACTCAGGCTAGTTTAATTTTCTCTTGCTACAAATGTGGAGGCTAGTACGCTTCTACTGGGCAACTGTACTACATCTGCCCAACAGTTGTTTATTTATAAGCTCCGCCTTCTTAATTCAAGGGAGCAGAAGGTAAAATTGCATTTCACTCTGTGTCCAAAATATGGCTTTGAGAGATCTGTTGTCTCGTGGATGGATGAACACTGAGACAGAAGAAAGATCTAAAATGATATGCGGTCATTAAATGAAAACCAGACTAAGGAGGAGACAAAGAAAAAATGAAGCTTAAGTCTAGCATTGGTCATAGCACGAGACAAGTCAGACATTTAGAAGTAAACCTACAGAAAGAAATGAATGGCTTCCTTCCTCGCGTCTATACTGAGAGAAACGAAGGGAAGCCTCAATAAATGATGGCATATGCAGCTTGTGGTCAGAACTCAGACTTTATTTAAGGTTGCTAAGTAACAAGACTAGACAGGATCAAGGGCATAGAATCGAGTCCCTGAACAGATCCATGTCGTATAGACATCGGTACATGACGAAGAAGAGTCTACTGTGGGGGATGCTTTTTAATCACTATCCATATTGACTATTTAATATGACAATGTGAAATTAGCACCTGCTTTAAGCTGTGTCAAATATTTTACTCCAGTAAATACAAATGGCAAATACAGGAAACACTGTTTTTATTTATTTATTTAAGATAGGGTATCTTGTAGTCCAGGCCTGCTTTTAATTTGCTATGTAGTCGAGGGTGGCCAAGAACTTCTGACTTTTCTGCCTCCAACTCTTGAGTGCTGAGGTGACAGACATGTGCCACTACACCTGATTTTAGGTGCTATTTGTTTTGTTTTGTTTTTATCTTCGTGTGTGTGTGTGTGTGTGTGTGTGTGTGTGTGTGTGTGTGTGCATGTTTGCCTGCATGTGCATGCATCTGTAGTGTAGGTCTCTGTATGTGTTTGTGTGTGGATACGCATGCATATGGAAACCAGAGGTCAATCATTTGCAGTCACTGGCTGTCAAATGGAGTCAAGGCTCTTTTTCTACCACTGCATAGACGTGGGGATCAAACTTAAGTCACAAGGCTAATGCAGCAAGCATCTTTGCCTTCTGTCCTTCTTGACACCCCACATCATCTTTGAGTCAGGCCTCTCCCTAAGTCCTATGCTCACCAGTTTGCTAGCCTGGCTAAGCAGCAAGTTCTTGGGAGCTGCCTGTCTCCGTTCCTGCTGCACCGCCCAGCTTCCTCGTGTCGCTGTTTGTATGGGATTAGAGATGCAAACTCGGGTCCCCATCTGTTCAGCATGCACCAACTGAACCGTCTCCCCCACCTTTATACTCAATTCTGAAAACGTAGAGTTGTTCTGAGAAAAGACAGGATTCTACAGTGTATAGCTTGGGGTAGACAGAAAGGATTTCTGAAATAAAAACGAAAACACAACTTGAGAAGAAGCAAGCTGAGGTACTGATTTCCACGTTCGCTGAAAGTTATCTCCAGGGCTTTATCTGCCATTAGCTCCACGTGACTTTCTATCTGCTGCTCAGTCACAGGAAGCATGAAACCTCTAGTACCTGAGGCCACCCAGTGGGCACCAAGAGTCCACGAGGCCTCCAGAGCAGTCCTGCTCACCCACCCACCCCATTTTTGCTCTGCTAGAAGATCCAGCAGGGGGCCAATTATTTGTTCTCAGGGACCTAAAGGCAGCGCAGATATTCACCTTAGACATTTTAAATGCATGTAAACAGCGTGTTTCTTCCTCCTTCCAGTACATTCTCCCAGATGATGTAAGCACCTGGGATGAGGTAACTCATAGGAAGGAATGTTTGACCACCTGGATGGTCCCTTGTCACAAGCATTTTCACAGTTTACCCACTGTGCACTGCACAGACTTCTGCTCCTGTGTGTGCTCTGCTACACCACCCCACCCATTTGGTCCCGGATAAAGGGGGTTGTCAGTCCTGTAAGCACTTGCATTATGTGCTATAAAAGAAGGCATTTAAAGCTGGCCACTGCCTACCTGGAGCCAAACGACCAGATGAAAAAGAAAGTGTGACACCAAAACAGTGCCTCACACTGTCCCCTCACACGCTCTTAGGCTGTTTCTTTAACCAGGAAAGTCAGTGTGTGTGTGTGTGTGTGTGTGTGTGTGTGTGTGTGTGTGTGTGTGTACGTGTGCGCGTGCACACACCTTACCTTTTATATAGAGATTGTGGAATTTATGGAGAACAATAAAAAGAACAGAAAATTATAAATAATAAAATAACAACACTTGGGTGCCTGATGGCATGATTTCATAAGTACTAGACCAATGGATTTTGTTTAATGTCACAGAATCAGCTGTCTCAAAATGATCAGTTACTGAGTGACATGACAGATGCCAGCTGAGGGAATGATTTCCTTTCTGTGTCTGTGTGTGCATGTCTCTGTGTGTACATGTCTGTGTCTGTGTGTGCATATCTGTGTCTCTGTGTTTGTGCATGTCTGTGTCTGTGTGTACATGTCTGTGTCTGTGTTTGTGCATGTCTGTGTTTGTGCATGTCTGTGTCTGTGTGTGCATGTCTGTGTCTGTGTGTGCATGTCTGTGTCTGTGTGTGCATGTCTGTGTCTGTGTGTGCATGTCTGTGTCTGTGTGTGCATGTCTGTGTGTAAGCTATAAGGCTACCTCAGCTGTCGTTCCTCAGCTGCTGTCCTTCATCACTTTTTAGAGCCAGGGTCTCTCACTGGACTGGAAATCAACAACTTTGCTGGGCTGACTGCCCAGTGAGCTCCGCTCCACCCTGGTCCACCTACCTCTGCCTCCTCAGCATTGTAAGCACGGCCATCGTGCTTGGCCTCTCGGTTATCGTGATATCTAACGCAGGTCCCCATGCCAAAGGCGAGCACCTGACAACCCTCTCTCCTGCCTGTCTTTCCTTTTTAACATAGTCTGTGCCGACAAAGACCGAAGAGAAAGTCCTCGACTGGCCTGAAACACGTTTCATTGTGCTTAATTAAAATGGAAGATAACTTGTAAATTGAAATACATTCCCAAAAGTTAAATTTGGTGAAGCCAGGTTAGTTTTCTATGCAAACTGTCAATGTGCCCATTACAAATTAGCCTGCATAGGCAGACCTCACTTCTCACAGCACTGCGCTAACTGAAATTTGAGCAGGTCGGAACCCATCCATACCATCATGCATGCAGTGTGCTGTACTGCTGTCAGATCTGATGTGTTTTGTGCAGCATAAAGTTATGTGTGTATTTCAGTGGGTACCAATAGTGTCCTGTAGCTTAACTCAGCAGCATGAGTGTATGAAAATGAGAAGAGACTCCGGTAAGTATCTCTAGATAAGTTGTTTGAGGGCGATTGTCAGCATTCAGAAATGTGAATGTCCTGTTAACTCTCTCACCTCTCCATTCCACCAGGGCCTGAGTCACCTGCACCAGCACAAAGTGATTCACCGAGACATCAAAGGGCAGAACGTCTTGCTGACTGAAAATGCAGAAGTTAAGCTAGGTATGGACAGCGTCCATGAGCCGCAGCACTGCTGGAGTTGATAGGCGTCAACAGTCCTTTTAAAACATTAATGTAAATCTGTCACTGTTGACTTGGGGGCATTTCCCAAAGATGAAAGGGAAAACGTTATTTGTCTATTTGCAAAGCATTTTCCCAGTCCCTCCTGAAGAATGACCTGTGTGGTGACTGGAGCCCTACACTTAAGCACTGTGTAGAGAAGTGACCGGCCTCGGCATCATCCAATACTTGAGTCTGTTCGTGCCACCACTGCTGTGGGGAGGCACTGATGGTTCCAGGGGTTTGGGTGTTTGGTGTGTGTGTGTGTGTGTGTGTGTGTGTGTGTGTGTGTGTGTGTGTTCAGCAAAAACATTTACATTGGAAAGTCTTTTGAATAATCAAGTCCTGCTAACTTCCCAGGGGCTTGAGCTATACTTAAATTTATTTTATTGTTCCCTACAGCACCTGTACAAAGGGGATTCTCGAGAGTCCAATTCGGGTGCACCCTGGTCACCCCACTTCACCCTGCCAGAGTTGGTGGTGGGGAATCCTTTTCTTTGGCCAATCCATCAGGCCTGTCCTGGTTTGACCTCGGCTGCTGTCCTGACAGGAGGCAGCTCAGCAGAGGAAGGGGCTCTCTTGGCTCACACTTCCCGATTACAGGCCATCACTGGGGGTGTCCAAGCAGCAAGAACTTGACGCACCTAGTCTCATCACACTCACAGCCAGGAATGAGAGACAGTAAATGCATATGTCCTCACTTTCTCCACTCTGAGACAGCCCAGGACCCAAATCTAGAGAATGGAGCCACTCACGGTGGGCTGGGTCTTCCCACAAGCCAGCCCCATCGAGACAAACTCTCAGAAAGACTCTCTTCCCAAGGCAATTCTAGACTGAGCCAAGTTGAGAGCTAAGACTATTCTAGAGAGAACCTTTCACAAAAAAATCTGGGAATGCTCTCATTTTATTATCAAGAAGGGTTTTGCTGTCCATGGGATTGCTTATTTCCAAAGAGATTTCAACGTTTGCTCTTCCCTTTTGTTACAGTATATAATTTCCCATCCCCATTTGTATTTGGAGCCAAACATTCATCACATGAATATTTGCTTTTAAAAACAAGAGCATACATTGTACAGGCTAATGGATGCATGTCTAGAGACTAGGTGATCTGGCCTCAGAGGGCTTCCTGAAGCTGCTTAACAAGCACTTGTCAGGAATACAATGGATGCCACATCTCTGAAGGGACACAGGATTGTCTCCTGTAAGTGAGGTCATTCTAGATTGCCATCTTCATCTTTATATTGTAGATTTGGAAAACCACACAGGGGTGGGTTGCTTGCCAGTCATACGGCTAGCCGGTGGCAGCAATGGCATATAAACTTTGGCAGGCTGACACCACCCTTAGGTCTCAATTACAGGTTTGTGTTGCCCTTTGTGGCCACAAAGACTATCGTCTATGGAACCCCTACTTTGTTGTGTGTCTCAATGGAGCCTTGATATAATCAAATACAGCAATTTGTGATTTCCTCACTGGTGCATTTATCTAGGTAATCATTCAAATTAAAAGCATGTGTTCCCCGTATAGAAATGGTAGAAGGGACCCAATTGCCCATCACCAGAGGAAAAAGATAAAGTGTAGACATGGAAATTTAAGGGGGAGTTATTCAGCATTAAAAAGGAAGAAAACTGTAACATACGTTACACCTGGGTGAACTTTGAGGGCATTAAGTTAAGTGAAATGAGATGCATTCTGTGTGACTCCGCTCATCTCTAGGGGTAGTCAGTGTCCTGGAGAGGGGCAGGAGGGGGAGTGGGTGAAGGATGGGACACAGGTTGTTCTTGCTCAGTGGGATAGAACCTCGCGGGTGGAAATGAAAGTGTTCTGGGGGGTGGATGGTGGTGATGGTGGTGCAATCTTTAAGGACTTTACTGCCCCAGAAAGTGTGTGTGGAAAGCGGTTAAATCTATCCTAATTAAGTTTCTATTGCTGTGTAATAAAACACCGTGAACAAAACCATCTTGGGTAAGAAAAGGGTTTATTTCAGCTTATAACTCAGGTTTTAGTCCATCACTGAGCAAAGTCAGAGCAGGAACTCCAGGCAGGGATTAGGAGGCAGGAACGGAAACAAGCCGTGGAGGGATGCCGTTTACCGGCTTGCTCTGTGCTGCTTGCTCAGTTTCTTCTCTTGTCCTCCCCGTGCCCAGGGATGGCTCCACCCACAATGGGATAGCCCATCCCACATCGACCATCTATCAAGAAAATGCCTTTCAGACTTGCCTACGTGCAATCTGATGGAGACATTTTCTCAGTTCAGGTTCCTCTCTATATATTGTGTCAAGCTGACAAAGAATCAAGATAAAATCATAACTTTTATGCTATATATATTTTACCACATGAGGAATGTGCATCATTTTGTTCTCACATCCAGCCTTAGGTTCTGATTTATTCCATTGTCTTCTCATCATTAGTGGATTTTGGAGTGAGTGCCCAGCTTGACCGAACAGTGGGCAGGAGGAACACATTCATTGGAACACCGTACTGGATGGCACCGGAAGTCATTGCCTGTGATGAGAACCCAGATGCCACGTATGATTTCAAGGTAGGACTTCTTCCTTGTGCTGTGAAGCCATGTCTGGCCCCTGGTCCTTAATTTTGCAAGGGATAATTCTCACAGACATTTGTGATTTATGGGACACATGGGAGAACCGAAAAACATAATTGAGATCTAAGATTGTAAGACATTCAAGTAAGAATTGTTCAATGAATTCACCCATGATATTTGTTTGCCCGTTTACAAAATGATATTAACATTATTTCATATGGTTTTGAATTTGCGCTTCCATCTTTTTCTTGGGAAATAGATTAGGTTTATGTTTTTGGTTATAGTTTGGTTTTGGCAAAGTGTATAATCTTATTATCCTTTTTCTTCTAACTCATTTGATCCATTTTTTGCTGATACATAAAAACATTCCAACTGTACATATGAAAGACGTTCCAGGGAATATTTTTCACATGTGCACACATACACAATGTTTAAATCAGGATAAATATATGTATCTGTTAAAATATCGTATTTTTAAGGTAAAAAAAAAAAAGATTTCAGAGGGCCCAAAGTGATAGCTCAGTTGGTAAAGTGCCTGCCTCGCAGGCATAAGGACCCAAGGCAGCCTTCCAGAACCCATGCTAAAAACCAACTGAGGTGATTGATGCAGGTTTCTACTAGCTCTAGGGAGGATCCTGGGCCTCACAGGCCAGCCAGCCTACCTAGCTTTCCTGGCAAGTTCCAAGACAATGACTCACCCTCTCTCAAGAATCTAAGCTCCTGAGAAATGATACCCAAGACTGACCCCTGGCCTCCCCATGCACAGCACACAGGTGCAGAAATACATACACCTGCACATACATGCTCGCTCACAAACATTTGAGAGTCTTTACATATATATATATATATATATATATATATATGTGTGTGTGTGTGTGTGAATATATATATATGTTTTTCGAGACAGGCTTTCTCTGTGTAGTTTTGGTCCCTGTCCTAGAACTTGCTCTGTAGACCAACCTGGCCTTGAACTCACAGAGTTCCGCCTGGCTCTGCCTCCGGGTGCTGGGGTTAAAGGCGTGCACCACCACCGCCCGGCTCCTTCTAGCTTTTTTAAATGGGCAGCATACTATTGTAATTACACTTGCCTAATGTGCAATAGCACACAGGAACTCTATGTTCCTATCCAACTAGAACACAGCACATGTTATGCCAAAATATGAATATTGGGGGTTCTTTTTGTAGTTACCAGACATCATGTACCGCATTTCCACAGTGCCAACCTTTGATAGTCTGAAATTTCCTCTCTGTAGGAAAATGACATGGGGTGGAAGTGTATGCTAATGTGGCATGGCATTTCACAGAAATCTGATATATCCCTTGTTACTTTTATTATAGACTGGAAGGACACAGCTAAGATCAAGCCACATTCAGTTGGCTTCTCCTGGCAGCTCTCGTTAACTCGGTCTCTCTAGCCGAGATCTAGCACGAGTCACAGTTCCAAGCCCTTGGAGGGCTACAGTGTTGACGACATTGCATTTGTAGAAATCCCCATTAAGAGAAAGCAAAACTGTGGACAGTGGAAGCTAAAGCAGTTGCAGAGCTCCCAGGCCGTGCATGAGGCAGACACTGTGTGGGCAAATGCAATATTGTCTGGGTTTGTTCTGGGAGTTCAAGGACTTTCCCTCAAGACGATGGATCGCCTCTCAATATCCTGTGATGGGGAAACCGAGGGCAGATCTCCACAGGTGCATACCCAGTTGGTGATAGTCTCTGAACTTTAACTTGAACATGGGTCTCCCAACTCTTTGTTCAGCTCTCTGTGATCATTTGTCCCCTGCCCCCACCCATGAAGAAGAAGAGTCTAGTGTGGTTTTGTTGTGTAAGTGAAATCTGCATCATGAGGGCTCTCTGGAAAAGAATCTGCAGGACTCTTTGTAACTGCAACCTGGTTTTAGGAGACATTTGCTAGGCTTCTAAATAAATCTCATAGATCCCATACAAAGAGTATATTTGAGGAATTTCTCTGTGAAAGTTCACTCACTTCACGTTTGGTTATATGGAAATCAGGTTATAGTGACGCAAACAGTACAGTCTTTAAGACCCAGTGTCTCTGAGCACTGATGAAATTATTCACCTCTTTAGAGAAATGTAAGCTTGAAGGTCTTGAAAACATAGTAATCCCCTCCTTCCTTCGAAGTTTGTCCCTCTAATAACCTGACAGCAGTCTGTCTGAGCAGCTGCCACGTTAAAAATTAATCCCCTGCCAAGTAAATGTCATTTATTTAAACTGTTAATGATCAGCACATTTAAATAGTTCCATTTGCAAATCTGCCAGAGAATCCACTACAAAATATATATCCCAGATGAGATATGCATATTTTAATTGGCTGTAAGCAATTCTTCAAACTGTAGTTGTATGTAACAAGTTAACTAGTCTACATCTGTGCCATAGATAATTTGAACAACTTCAAAATATACCAGGAGAGACTTGACGAGGTGGGTCAGAAGTTAAGAGCACATGTTGCTCTTGTAGATGATCTGAGGGTTTAAATCCCAGCACGCAAGTGGTAGATCACAACCATCTATAACTCCAGTTCCAGGGCATCTGATGTTCTCTTCTGACCTCCAAGGGCACCATGCACATGTGTGGTACACAGACACACATGCAGCAAAATACCCAAACACATAAAATAAATGAATCTAAATTTTAAAATAAGACAAATTAAACCAGGAAGAACCAAAGTGTCTAGATTTTCATTCCTGTCTGAATCTTTTACGTATTGGGGTGGGCTGTGTGTTTTCTCTGTAGCATAAACAATACCCTTGTAGCTGACTTGTTTTTAAGAGAGTAACTAGAATAGCTTTTCGTTTTGGCCAACCCAAAGCTTGAAATGAAGTTTAATCTTGGGCTTCTTTCTCAGACGATTGCTAAGAAATATTGTTTAGAACTGATATGATACCTGTATGTAAAGAATATTTAAAAACCCACAATTAAACAAAAAGAATCCTCACAGAGAAAACAGGTTCAACTGGGTCAGTCATTTAGACTACAGCGTGATCTTGACCATCAAGACTTTCGTGTATGTAAGTTGTTCACGAGGAACAAAACCCCATGCCTAGGACGCGGACTTCGCTGCTCGCCAGTTGTGGGGAGGAGAGGCTTGTCTGCAGTGTGGGTGAAGAAGCAGAAAGGGGGTCTGGGGAGTCGAAGCAGATTTGTTTTGACCACTCCATAATTCTACAGAAAAGATGGAGATCTTTAAAGCCTCTGTGGCACTGTATCTTACCGTGTTTTTTGCTCAGTGTGCCCGGGAACGTGGTCTGCCACCAGGGGTCGGCTGTACGTTTACTGAACTCCCACTCTGTGTGTGTGTGTGTGTGTGTGTGTGTGTGTGTGTGTGTGTGATTACCTGAGCTCTCTCTGCATAAACCATTTCCTACTGGAGACCTATCAAGCCCGAGGATTTGGTCTGTGTGGGGGACAGTCCATTTGAGCCGAAGGGAGTCCCGGCCTCAGCAATGACCTCCTCCTGTTGGGCTCTCACGTAGATTAAATGTAAGCGTCCAACATTTTAAGGTGGTGGGTACTGAATAACAGATGCTTTGAACAGCACTGGATTCTGTAAGCTTCACCAAAAAGCCAGAAAGCTCTGGCTTTAAAATGAGGGTGAAATGGAGAAAACCAGTTTGGTTTGGGTATGTGATTTATCACTTATTATTATTGATCATTACTTGATTTATTTTAAAATGCTTTTAAAGACTGGCAGAAGTTTCTATTTTCTCAAATCCTTTTTTAAAAATTTCATTTAGCGATGTGTATGCATGGGTATGCAGATATGTGCACATAATTGCATATGCCTTTGGAGGCCAGAAGAGGTGGTCAAATCCCTTGGAGCCAGAGTTACAGGTGGTTGGGAGCTACCCAGTGTGGGTACTGAGAACCGAACCCAGGTCCTCTGAAAAGCAGTTCATACTCATAACCACTGAGCCGACCGAGCCGTCTCTCCAGTCTCAGAAGTTCGTTAGGGATGCGAAAGGAACTGACTGCCCTACAGGCCACTGTGGGAAAGCAGTCTGTAGAGACGAGTTTTCCCTGCAGTCTGGATTTGGGTGGAGTCCGATGTGTGCAGGAGAACCCACTGACTGTGGAGGAGAGCCTGAGCCGCACTGACTGGTGTGCTGGCTCTCTCCTGTGGGCCCTTCCTTTCTTGTTTTCAGAAATTCTGTCAAAACACTTCAAGCAAAAGGAAAGGTTTCATTCCCTGGTAAGTACGCAGGGCAAGAATGAAAGCTTTCCCATTTAATAATAAGCATTCAAAAGATTTGAAATTAATAAAGCTGTTCAAAATTCCTAGGCTGTTTAAACTGGCATTTTTAAAACTTACTGTGAATTATATTTCAGTAGGATGGAATCTGACAGGCATTTTATAGTCCTAAGTGTTGCCTTAACAGAGGTACCCACTGAAGAAAAGTCTGTGTGGCCAAGCCCATATCCATTGGAATCTGACTGAGTAAAGACCTAATTCTCTATCCAGTGGAATACTATGCACCACTGAGCAATGAGTCGTTAGAGTAGGATGTGTTTGGTACCCAAATGTGAGTACCAAACATCTTCCTCTTACCGTAGTCTCACTCCCACTCACCTGATGTAGAAACTCTACACACACACACACACACACACACACACACACACACACACACACACACGTATGAACTCACATGCACGTGCACACACACGTATGAATTCACATGTACATGCACATGCATGCATGTGGGCAATCTGTGAATAGCCTGGAAAGGACTGAAGTGTTTGGCCTCTGAGCACATTGATGATGCATTCTTAATTCTTATTTTCTGTGTCTTTCTGTCCTGTTTTGATGTTTTTGCATCAATAGAATTTGCTCTTATAATTAAGCTAGTGAGGTGATAAAGGTCCTAGAAAATGCCTTGTCCCCCACACCCCATGCCTAGTGGGTCCCTTCCTTTGGGGCTGACTTTTGCTGAATGTACTGTATTAAGAGACTTGTCCCACATCAGTGGCAGATCTGCGGTGC